TTCATCCTTCAAAGCCTCAGTTCTGATGCCTACCTTCCATGCAGCAGGATTTCCGGCATCCCTCCCTCAGGCCCAGCCCTGACCACTGTGGCTGAAGGTGCCAGTGTCTGCTTCTATCTTTCCATCAGAGGACGCTCTCTTGCCCAGTATAAAGCAAGTCCCCCAAAGGCTTTCAAGACGTGTTGGCTGAAGGAATAAATAAATGCGTGTGGTCCCACTATGTGTTCATTATGGCCAGGTTCTCATCTGCCAATATTAGGGGTGAAAGAGAGAGACAGGAGCCTATTTCAGAGATAACTCCCGGGTCCAACTCCACTGCCAGAACTTCTCAGAAGAGGCCTGCTAACTAAGCCCCACATCAGAAGGGGCTCTGGGGCTCCGAAGACCCTTTGCTCCTTTCCCACCAGGGCAACAGCTCCATCCTCCCCGCACCCGAAGCTACCAGAGTTAGCGCTCCTCTGGGCCTTCGCACATGCTGTTCTCTCCACCAGGAACACCTTTCCCCTCACCAGGTCCTTCTCACACTTCCGGTCTCAGCTTAGTCACATGATACGCCCAATGCCACTGACCAAGCATGAACTCTGTGCTAAAAACTTTATCTGCCATCCCCATCCTCACCTTCCCCACCCCCCGCTGAGATGGGAGGCTCCTCGGCCTCTCGATTCTATAGATGACAAAACCCGGGGCGCGGAGAGACAAAGATGCCTGCCCAAGCCCACCTAGCCGGGAAGATGCAGAGAAGCCAGCTCATCTTCATGTTAAGCTCTTACCTGCTCTCCCACAATGACCGCCTTCTCCAGGAAGCCCTCCTGCCCTCCACACATGCGAGGGCAGAGCCTCCTCTAGGTTGTCCCTGCCAGTGTGTATTTCTGCCATCACAGCCTTGACATCAACGCTGTGTCCTCCCACCTGCTGGTTCTGAACCTAGGAGGGTCTGTGGGGTGCCTGTTTTGTCCAACATGGTGTACCAGGCCTGGCGCACAGCAAAGCTCAATAGATAGTCCTATGGGTAGTAATGGGTTCACGGATTGCTTACTCTCATAGAGATCCTGTGTGTGTGCGTGCAATTCCAGCTGTGCTCAAATACGGGCGCACAGTAGGTGCTCAATCAATGTCCTCTGCCTGAAGGAGGGCAGGAAAGATGTCACAGTCACTTGTAAGGCCCCAGGGGCCGCATAAAAGCCTGTTAAATCAATGAAGAGTGGGCAGCTGGGGAAACAGAGGCACGGAGCCCCCCGCCTGCCTCAAAGCCACACGGCCAGTCCCAGTGGCTTCTGCTCAGTCCCCACCCCCAGCCACTGTGCCCTCCGATGCCACAGGGAAAGGGCTCCTCCCTCAGTCCCCCACCCCGGGCAGTGCCTGCCAGCAGCCCAGCCCGTTGTCTCCCTGGGGCTGGCACGTCACACTCGGAATCTCACGCCTCTGAGCTCAGCGTGCTCCAGCCTCCCCTCCTGCCACCAAGCAGAGCAGCTGGTGCTCCCATGGAAACCACAGGCCCCCTATACCCCCACACCACACCGGCCCCCCTCACAACCTCCATTTTAAGATAAATATTGTCATTAACATGCAAATGCACATGTGATTACCATAAATGGGGGGCCACAAGGCAGCGGCCAGCGAACCCTATCGCCAGGACGGGTATTAATATTCAGCCCTGATTAGGGAAGAGGGACACCTCAGGGCTCCTACAGGCACCCAGCCCCCTGGAGCGAGAGTCCTGGCGGGGGGCGGGGGGAGAGGGGCTGTCCCCCACCAGGGGGCTGGAAGGGGCTGATGACTGTATACTGGCCACTGGGAGCCCCAGTCCGGGCCTCGGTTCCTGGCCTGAGCTCCTGGCTGGGCTGGGGACACCAGGGAGGGCCCGTTCCTCTGGATGAGGCACCGATCTGGGGGATGGGGTAGGAAGCAGCCTTGTGACCTCCTGATCCCCCTTCTCCATCTCTCTTTCTGATTCCCACCCTCTCTCTGCCTCTCCCTGTGTGTGGGTGGGGGGTGGCACGCTCTCTCTCTCCACTTCTCTTTAAAAAAAAAAAAAAAAAACCCAGTCTGCCCTCTTTCTAAGGACCCCTCACTTCTTGTCCTCTCCCCAAGCCCTGTTCAATCCCCAAAGCCCAGAGGATCTGCTGAACCCCCTGCCTTTCTCTTGGTTCCAGCAAGACCCCCCACTGTACAGGCCCTTAGGAATTGGAAGGCCCCCACATGCAGGCCCCACCACTGGCTGTGGCTGTCAGATGTCACAGCCACCTCCCCCGTGCCATCCGGGAGCCTCATCCTCATCTTGGAAGAACCTGTCACCCCTTCATCACACGCATATACTTCTGCTTCCCCTGGCCCGGGAGGGGGAAGGTGCGTGACAGTGGGGAGGGCAGCTCTGGTTGGTCCCTGGGACCCAGAAATTGGCCCAGTAGTTGGCCCTGTGAGCCTCAGTTTCCTTTTTATATGAAATATGGTGGTGCTCACAAGCCCCCCTCAGTGGCGAGCCCTTCGGGGAGAGATCAAACAGGCCCCTGAATGTGAAAACTAAGGATGAGATGGATGGTCATGAGGATAATGACAATGCTGGGGGTGGGGGGACGGTGACCACAATGGATGTTTTGGCTTAACGTCATTCTGGCCCCTGCAGCTGACCTGGTGCCCAGCCTCATGGGAGTCTCCCAGCATCCAGCGGCTCCACCACTGGGCCCAGACCCCTCACCCCGGCCACACTCCTTCTTGGCCACATGGAGGAGTTAGAGGTTAGTTGGTTCCCCAGAAGCGACACCAGAGAAGTGTTCTCTGGGAGGTACCCGAACTTCCCCTCCCCCACATCCCGTTCATCATTCCACGTCCCTTTGCTTGAGGCCCAGAGAGGGGAAGCCACTGGCCAGAGGTCACACAGGCCTCCATCCCAGCTGCTGGCACTCGAGACACCCCCACCTCCAGGTAAGGTCCCTCCAGGCCCAGGACCAGGTGGGACCAGGAGGGGGATCTATCCTTGACTTGAGGGTACAGGGTGAGGGCAGACAGGAGGGAAAGCCCCCCACCCCCTTGTTACCCTCAGGCCCTACGTCCAGGGCTCAGGCTGGCCCAGGGCCCCTGTGAAGAGGAGGATGAGGACTGAGCATCATGGATACCCTGCTTCCTAATTTAAGCCTCCAAGGAAAGATGGGAAAAGGGAAAGACCCTGAACACCCCCCCAATCCCAACATTCTCCAGCCAGAAAAAAACACCCCCGCGTTCATGGGCCCTGCTTTGGTAACAGTGGGGAAACTGAGGCTCTGGCCCAGGTGAACCTGGGCTGCAGCTCCACCCCTCACCTCTTCTCGCTTTGGGGGAGGATTTCCAGGGGAGATTTAAAAATGAGGAGGGGGCACCTCTGCAACCCATTTGCTTCCCTGTCCCAGAGCTCGCCAGCAGCCTTCCAGCCCAACATTTGGGGGGCCACATGGACACCCCCTGATTCCCATCAGAATCTTTCTAGAAATGGGCTCTTCAGACATACCGGAAAATGACCAAAGCCATGGAGTCCAGAGGGGTGGAGTGTGGACAGAGCCCTCTATAGAGCCGTGGATTCCTGAGCTGGATTCATGGGCAAAAGTGAGCCCTCTGTCCTCCTAGGCCACCTGGAGGAGTTAGATTTCCCAGCCCCCCCTTCTTTTTGTGATGATAGGATTCGATAAAAGGCTAAGGGGGGGAGTCTTTCCTTCCTAGGGTATCAGCTGAGGTCTAGCTGAAGTGACAGGCCTGGGCTCCATCCTACCAGGCTCACATTCATTCATTCATTCATTCAACAAACATTATTCATGATTACCATGCTGACACACGGAGGGGAGGATGGAGATAAATGATTCTGAAATAGGTCATGGGCTCTGGTCCACCCTAAGGTCCCTCCAGGGTCTTGCCATGAGTGTTCAGTGCAAAGCCTTTGCCATCCCCAACCCCAGCCCCCAACCGCCAACAGAAGAGCTGTCAATGCCACCCCAATTCAGACTGTGCTTATGATCCGAGTCAAGGCTGGGGCACGGTCCCCGGGCACCTGCGCCCAGCGTGCCATCGGAGAGAGAATCAGGTAGGAGGGAGGCAGGCAGTCCTCCCCCCAACCTGCCTCCCGCTGGTTTGCAGGCCGCCCACACCTCCCCTGTCCACCCCAGGATCTGGGCTCTGCCAGATGGACAGCCCAGACGCATCATCGTTGGCCTCAGACCTCAACACATTGCTAACGGGATCGGCTAGTTTTAACTTGAGCCAAAGGTGGAGGCATGGAGGGGGAGGGCAGAGAAATGGAGGGGGATGCTGATCCAAACAGAGAGGGTGGGCAGGGGGGAGGGTGAACGGTAGCATTTGAGCCACCGGAGGCTGGTGCTCCCCCCTCAGCCTGGCTCAGCTCCCTGCGCCCCCCAACCCCCCTCTGGCTTTCTTTGTAGTTACCGATTAGCCCGGGGTCCTGGGCATCCGTATGTCCCGGAGGCCAGCTGGACCTGCCCCACCGGCCTGGCTTTGTGAAAATGACCAAAGCAATGGAGTCCAGAGGCGCAAAGTTCCCCGACGGGGCCTGGGGAGGCCGAGGGAACGGGGGGAGCAGGGAGGGTGGTGGTATTCAGGCAGGTCCCCCAGCAAAGGGGCAGGAAAGAGTGGGTGAGGGAGGGAGGAAGGGTGGGGGTTAGGGGGAATGGGAGGGGAGAGAGAGAGATGCTTGGGGGGTGGAGAATGGGAGGTAAAGGGAGATGGGAGAGTAGAGAAAGGGAGAGAGAGAGAGAGAGAGAGAGAGAGAGAGAGAGAGAGAGAGAGGATGCCGGAAGGTGGAGAGGGAGGGAGATGGGGTGGAGGAGGGGAGGGGGCCAGATCGGATCTGTCAGCTGCACCCCCAGAGGGAGGAGGAGAGGGTGGGTGGAAGGGGGAGAAATGATGCCGTGGCAGAGGCAAGTAGAGGGAGGTGGTTAGGAGAGGAGGGCTGGGGGAGAGAAGATGCCGGAAGGTGGGGTGGAGAGAAGGGAGGGGAGGGAGGGGGCCAGGGCGCCCACCTTTGTGCATGCCCGTGTAAGGGTCTTTGAGCACCGTGAGCTCATAAATGCGGCCGAACTGCTCGAATAGCGGCTTGAGGTCCTTCTCGTCCAGGTTGCGTGGGATCTGGCCCACGAAGAGCTTGATGGCGTCCAGGTCCTTCATGCCGTCGGGCTGCCCGCCGGGGGGCTCGGGCCCGCTGCTGCCCACCGGCGAGGGCCGCGGCTGCAGGAGCTGCTGCTGCTGCCGGCGCGCCTCGCTCTCCGTGAGGCGGGCCATGACGGGCGAAGGCGGGCGGCGGGCGCGGGACCGAGCCGGCGGCGGCGGGCGGCGGGCGGACTCACAGCTACAACGACGGACGCCGCCTCCCGCCTCCCTCCCGCCCGGTCCCCGCGCCCTCCTCCCTCCTCCGCGCCCGCTCGCTCCAGCATCAGGACCACAAAAGGGCGCCTCCGCAGCGGCCCCTGGAGGCCAGCGCGCGCATAGCCATCCCGCGCCTTCTGCACTCATCCCTCACTCCACATCCCGAGAACCGGAGCCCAGTCCAGGTTGGGTAATTGAGGCCAACGGGCCGCAAACCCCGCCTTCTGGGTGGGTGACGGTGGGGCTCCCAGCAGGGCAGACCTGACTTCCAGGTGTCACTGGCTCCTTCATCTGATAACAACAGGAAACATCACTAAAAGTAGAGCCCGGCTTTTACTTAGCTGGGCTGCTCTTGCCACTTTTAAGACCACAACTCATCAATAACAACAAGAAAGAACACGTCTGATCATACAGGCACTGCGCTCGGCACTTTTACGTCGATAGCTTACTGAATAGAAATAGGAATCGTGTTTGTTACATCAACAACCAGAAGTAACATTTTTGTCACACTTGCAGTGTTCAAAATATTTCAAAAGCTATTGATGCATTTGGGCCAAGAACTCTATGGACATCATGTTTAAAACTCTCCAAAAATGTCCTAAGATTAGGACTAAGTCCTCTGTGCAGCTCCCAATGTCCCACACACCCGGCCCCACTCCCCTCCCTCCCCTCACCTCCTCCCTCTCTCCCCCTTGCTCACTTGCTCCAGCCACAGGGGCCTCCTGGCCTTCCTTCCAACACACCAGGCACCACCTGCCCCAGGGACTCTGCAGAAGCTGTGCCCTCTGCCTAGAATACCCTTCCCCCAAATGGTGCACGGCCTACTCCTTCAATCCCTCGACACTTTCTCTATCCATTCTATCTAAAATTGTTCAGCCACCATCACCTCATTTCTCAGGCTTCCTTCCCCCGCCCCTAATATTAATAACCCTTTAATGTAATTTAATTGTAATATGTTGTATATTTACATGTTACTGATAAAGTGCATAGTTCTTTCCAGGCACCTGACTCTGTGCTAAGTTCTTGACATGCACAAACTCATTTAATCCACACAACAAACCCTGGGGGTGGTTACAAGTAAATAAACAAGATACTCTTACACTATGAAAAAATACAATGAAAGAAACAGCTAAATGAGTGGAGGGAAGCCTTTAGGAGGCAAATTCAGGGAAGGCAGATGACAGAGCTTGGCTTTGAGCTGAGATAAGACTGGGGCAGCAAGTGCAAAGGCCCTGGGGCAGGAAGCATTCTGACAGGCTTGAGGAACTTCGAGGAGACTGTAACAGGGAAAGTGCCAGACTGAGCAAGGGTGTGTGTGTTGGGGGGTGGGGGCAGTCTACCAATTCTGAATTTAATTTTTAATTGTGTTTGTTTTAAAACAAAGGCGGGATCACTAACAATCCAGTGCTGAGCCAAAGGAAAATTCAGTAATACTGATTCTATTCAAAATGTTGACATTTTATTCATCATGAATTTGGGGAACATTAATTTTAGTTTTTAAAAAATACTGCATTAGCCCGGCCAGCATGGCTCCGTAGTTGAGCGTTGACCTATGAACCAGGAGGTCATAGTTCAATGCCTTATCAGGGCACATGCTTGAATTGTGGGCTCAATCCCCAATGGGGGAGCATGCGGGAGGCAGCCAATCAATGATTCTCTCTCATCATTGATGTTTCTACCTTTCCCTCTCCTTTCCTCTCTGAAATCAATAAAAATATCTTTTTAAAAAACTGCATTGAAATATTCTTTATCTTGCCCTGGACTGTTTGCTCAGTGGTTAGAGTGTCAGCCTGGGGTCAGAAGGGGCTCGGGTTTGATCCCTGGCCCTGGGCACATGTGGAAGACAACCAATTGATGTGTCTCTTTCACATCAATCTCTCTCTCTCTCTCTCTTTCTCTCCTTCCTCCTCTCTCCCTTCTACTCTAAAAATCAATGAAAAAAATACACTCGGGTGAAGATTTTAAAAATAATAATATATATAAATAAAATAAAATAAAATAGCCTTTACTGTGACGACTACGTCTTTTGGTGCCCCCTTAAACTTTGCTCCCAGGTGAGCCCACCCTGGTCCCTGCCCATTCCTCATAGCAACCATTAAAAGGTAAATACTGTTCTTATACCCATATTACAGAGAGGCAAACTGAGGCCCAAGTCACTTTTGCAAGGTTACACAGTCAGAGTGCTAGGATTTGAACCTAGCCAGCCTGACCCCAGAGCCCACACACTTCCCACCATCCCACACTGTCTTTCCCACACTCTAGGCAGCCAAGCCTTGGTTTCCTTATTTGCCAAGTGAGACTAAAGAGTGAATACGATGAAGCCCTTGGCGTGGATTTGGTGAACTCATAGGTGAGGCTTAGCATAGCACCTAGGACAGACATCCTTAGTGCTCAATAAATGGCTGTTGTCATGACTGTTACAGGCAGCCACCTGCCCGTCCCCAGGCGGGAGCAGCGTGTCAGAGTTAGGTGAGGAGCAGGGCCACTCCTGGTCCCTGGTTCTCAGCTTGCAGCCCCAGGCTGGGCTGGTGGAGCTGGGCCAAGACAGGTTCAGTCTCCATGGAGACCCAATCAGGATGCTCGAAGCCCTGTGAGCCTCTGATATGCTGGAGAGTCATTTAAAAGAATAAAAATAGCCCGGCCAGTGTGGCTCAGTGGTTGAACATCAACCGATGAACCAGGAGGACATGATTCGATTCCCGGTTGGACGTGCCCAGGTTGTGGGCTCAATCCCCAGTGTGGGGTGTGCAGGAGGCAGCCAATCAATGATTCTCTCTCATCATTGATGTTTCTCCCTCTCTCTCTCCCTTCCTCTAGAATTAAAAAAAAAAAAAAACCAACCACACATATCTTTTTTTAAAAAAGAATGAAAATTATAACCCACCAGCCCTCCTGTGAAGAAAGATGAATTTCCCACACTCTCTCTGGACATGCAAAACAAACGAGGGTAAGGGGCAGGGAGGGTCCCAGTCTAGCTTGCGTGTGACCTCCAGGAATGTAAATTCAGCATTCCGCCTCCTGAGTGATGCTCATCTCTGGAGTTTACTCCCTGACCGGCTGACACGACTCAGCTGTATCAGGGAATAGGTCAAGGCAGAGAAAACTCCCAGGGCTGTCTGCTTGGAACCCAGGAGGCCGATTTGCTGACTTATTAGCCAGAGGACACCTGGTCGGCTGGGCATCATCGCAGGAGGCCCGTGGTGTGGGCGGCTGTTACTGGAGCAGTAGCAGCGAGGCTGGGGCAGAGCCTGGGGTGGGAGCCAGGGGCTGGGAGGCTTCCCAGGAGTCGCTTGGCTCCCTGAGCCTGTTTCCTCACTCACCTGCCCCAGAGCCTTTGCACGTCCTCAGGGTTCATCTTCCAAAGAGCTTCTCAAAATGCTCACACGAACATAAGTCCATCTTAAAGGGAAACTGTGGACATTCAGGTCATGTTCTCTGTGGGGGAGCCACCTGCTGGGGGGTAAGCCGCATCCCGGGCTCCAGCCACTTGTGCCAGGAGCTCCCCCAGACATCGCCCAGGTCCCCCGTGGGGCAGGACCTCCGGGAAGAACTGCTGGGGAGCGCAGCTGAGGCGCTGGCCTCCGGAGGAGCTGGGGTGGGGTCAGCAGGGTCCACACTGCACTTCTCACACGTGCGTGTCCTCCTGGGCATCCTGCTAAGAACGCAGAGCCCGATCCAGCAGGTCTGAGGGGGGCCTGGGCCTGCATTTCCTGACAAGCCTTCAGGCGACAGGCGGCAAAGGTCTGGGAAGATGTCTGCCATGTTCCCGTTCCGGCTTTTCACAGCGAGATTCTTATTTCAGAGGTCGTGTGTGTGAAAGGGGTGAGCCCCTCGGGGAGGGACAAGAAATGGCTTCTGATCTTTTCCAGGTCCCTCCAACCCCCAACCCAGGGGCTGAGGGGTAGGGTCAGCAATGGGGTCAGGGTATTGGGCAGGGGCAGGGGGCCCAGCCTGAAGCTGCCCTGTGCCAGGACCTCTGCTCTTTGGTGGTCTCCGCACAGCTGGCCTGAGTGTCTTCCTGACCCCGCAACCCTGATGCCCTCTGACCCTGCCCCTCTGTGCCCCAAGTCCCTCAATGCCCAGACTACCTACAGCTCTTCTAGGACATTCCCAGAAGTGAAGCGCCCCACCTACCAAGGCTCATGATGTGTCCCCTGGGAACCGCCCCGCAGTCCCTACCCACCCCAGATGCCTCCTGCCTTCACACACCTACAGCCACAAAGCAGACAGACCTCTGGCTGCCACACCCCCATCCACACCACCGCCCTCCCCTGGGAGGGAGCTGCTCTTTCATCCTGCAGGATTGAACCCCAATCTGCCCGGATTCTCCCAGGTCCCTGGCCCCACCATTTGGTTTCACGGATGGGAAAGGGTTCCTCATTGGGTCAACCCCTTGTTGCTCCCTCTCTCAGCAACGGGGTGGGGTTGTGTGAGGCCTAAGGCACAGCCTGAGGGCGAGGGGGAGCGAGGGAGGGTGGGGGAGAGGTGTCAGGATCTGGTTGTGCCTCACCCTCAGGGGTTGTGGCCCCGTCTCCCCCATCCGTCCTTCAATGTGGCTCCACTCTTCTGGCCACAGCCCGTGGGACCTGGAGTGGACACCTGTCCTGAGGGCCGATGAGTTATTTCCCTGGAGACACGAGGAGTGGATGCCTCACCATCCTGGGAGGTGAGTGTGCACCACATGGAACTTGGGTGTGTTTTTTCCAACGTCGGGATGAGAAAGAGGCACAGATCCTCATTTCTGAATGAACCATCCCCAGTGTGTTCCTATAACTTGCAATCAAAACTGCATGGGTTCGTATATGGTAGGATTCTATTTATGTGAAATGTCCAGAACAGGCAAATCCAGAGACAGGAAGTGGGTCAGTGGTTGCTGGGGGCTGGGGGTAATTGCTGATGGGAATGAGACTTCTTTTTGAAGTTATGGAATGTTCTGGAACTAGATAGAAATCACGAAACCACTGAATGATATATCTAAAAGGGTTAATTTTATGGTACGTGAATATATCCCAATTAAGCTTTTTTTTTTTTTTT